CTTAGATTTGTTTGGTGTATTTTGTCTTTTTTAACTTTTTGTGTTTTGTTAGGGCTTGCAACCACCCAGAACACCCTAGCAGCCCTATAGAAAAATCACAACACCTGTGGTAAATGTGCTAAAATAACATCCTAGAATGCACAGCATGCCTTAAAAAAGCAAAAATCTAGGTTTTATCCTTATTTAGTTTTTGTATTTATTCTGAAATAGATGTGCAAGACAAAAATTTTAGTTTAACTGACTATTTTCTCTTTCTCTCTCAGATCCAGACTACACTGTTGTTCTTAGCTCATCTGTGAACGCAAAGTTCTCTGGTGACCCGACGGAGTTGGAATGCAAAGTCACGAACATGTCGAACCTTCGTAGCGGACGGCTGGGAGTGTCGTGGCTGTACAGAGACATTCAGCCTGGTGACGTACCAGTATCTACTCACACCATTGTGTCACTGGATGAGAATGGGAACCTTGTGCCAGGCAAGACGTACAAGAGCCGTGTGGAGGCGGGGCTTATTACAGTGACTCGAATGGAACCTTACACGTTCAAGCTCCGCCTCTTTCGTACCACAGATGCTGACGCTGGTGAATACATGTGTGCCATAATGGCATGGGTACCATCTCAACATGGGAATTGGAAAAAGGTTGCTGAGTATGTGACCCCAGCACTTAAAGTCAGCTTTGCTAACAAGCGTAAGTGTGCATCCATTTAAATGGTTTTGTAATCTCTAAAGATATATTATATATTATATTATGAAATGACTTGACTTGACTATTCCATGGTCTGTCTGAATACTCGATTCTGATTGGCTGGCATGTATGCATTAAAACCATTTAATGCACAGGTAGTTCCAAGTCAGTTTAATCACCGTTCTATATTAATGTGCTGCTTTAATTGATGCACGCACACACTAGGGTGACCATACGTCCTCTTTTTAGGACCTAAAAAAAACGCATCCCTTCGGCCGGGATTTCTAAATTGCCCAAAATGTCCGGGATTCGGCTTTTGCTTTCTACAATCGCCATTCATTATGTGCGTTTTTGTATTAGAGCCCTGACGGTTTTCTTAATCCCACTCCCGCTGAATTTCTGACCATTATCGCCCGCTCCCGTGATTTTTGTGTTCAGTCCCGCCCACTCCCGCAAACATTCTAATATTGCTTATAATTTTCGCGCATCAGGGAGCCGCTATAGGTGGAGAATTTAAATCTCTTTTGAATAGGGCTGTCGCGATTCGTCGATTTTATTCGACTGTTCGTTTTTTTTTAAATCCTCGACTTCATTTTGCTCGCGTCGACTAACCTGCAAAATACCGGAAGTGGCGCATTTCACAGACGAGAATGTATATAATTAAGCATAATTTTGAATTCACAAACGCTACGATTTAATTAAATAATTATATGCGATGCAGTTCTAATACAGTATATGCGCTTTAATTATTTACATGCGTGTACACGCCTCACACAGCGGCTCCGTTCACAGTAGTTCCACAGGAACTGTTATCATTTACATGTGTGGAGCGTCTCAAACAAACATCTCTGCATGTTGTTGTGAGTTTGGGTTTATTATAACATTCATCTGGGAACGCAACGTGCGGGGTTTATTATAACGTTCATCTGGGAACGCAACATGCGCCATTTCATCAGATTTGTAAGGTAAATCATTTATAAATCTACGTAAACACAGGAGAATACATCGCGGTTTCAAAATAAAAGCTCAAACCCTCACTCGGAGTTTACACGTTTTGATGTCCACATATTCATTTAATTACAGTGGATAGCATTTCTGACCTAAAGAAATGGCCAAATAATAAAGATTAAGTGGACATTTGAATGAAATGGCGCTTGGTCAATATTAAACGAGGATTAGATCGCAGAGTAATGTGTAAAAACAATCGTCAGGCCGTTGGCGCCCCCTGCAGGCCTTTGTTGTAATGCGTAATGTACATTAGCTCTGTTTATAATACATTATGTATTTTAACAATTTTGTTCAATCAAACCTTATGATTTCTTGCTTTTGATACTTTATTGGAACTAATTATTATTGCCTCATTGCTATTATACATGTATTTTAAGTCATTTTAAAGGCTATTGTTCACTTACATCTATTTTTATTACCACAAAAAAAACAAAAAAAAATTTGTAGGGCACTATGAAATCCATTTTATTTCCAAATTCCATTTTCATTTTTCTATACTCTCTATACTCTGTTAAATAAAATTTTATTAATCAAAAAGCCTGTCTAATTAATTGAGT